TATTCCTAGCATGCATACGAATCGTTATCTTACCCCCTTTCTATATGAAAACTCCAATATTCCTATCTAGGGTTCTAACCCTAAGACTATTATCAACTATTAGAGTGATCAATTCTAATAAAGAAAATAGAAAATACGAACAGGGTAGAGATAAAGATAATTATATAAACGAAGAATCATAAATCAATCCGTTGTAACAAGGGTTCACATAGGGCTCATGACCCTAACTACAATAAAAAGTACTAGCCAACCATAAGCATGGCTAAAAATCCAATATTCAAAAAAACATAAAATAAAAGAGAAGATGAAGAAGAAGAACTTGATCTCCAGAATCCTCTCGGAGCACCACCGTCGTGTCACTTCAGTAGAATAGGTCTGGTTCCCTAATTTTGTAAAAGGCATCCTATTTATACGCCTCTTTTTCTTCTTCCAAAAATACCCCCAGACAACACGGTGTAATTTTTCCCGCAACCCGGGGCCAGTGTGGCGCAAGTTTGCACCACGCTTCTGTCCAATTTGAAAAAGTCGGAACAAATTCCTCGTAAAGTGGCGCCAGTTGGCGCCATTTTGGCGCCACTAGGCGCCATTACACTGACACAAAAATGTTGCACTTTGGCGCTGGTTGGCTTCATGGTGGCACAATTTCGCTTTACTTTTGGCGCCAAGTAGCTTCGTTGTGGCGCCAGTTAGCGCCTTTTGCAAGGCTTCGGTGCAAAAATTTGTAAACTGGCGCGGGTTCGCGCCAGTGTGGTGCCGGTCCGCGCCATGTATCTGGAAATTGTACTGTGACACACTCGTGTGGAGTCGCGTCAACAGGCTTTTTATAATTTGTAATTTTCACTCCATTTTCCTGTATAAACACAACCAATAGGTGAGAAATATTATTGACATAGACAGAATCAATATAATAAGCAAATATGTATATAAGTTTCTCTTTTATGACTCGATTCTTATCAGTTTTAACACAGAAAACTACACCTGCTAGAGGCACATCATCTTCCCATGTGTGGATTGATCTAGGGGTGAGAGTTTTCATCCTTGTTTTTGCTTTTAAGCCCAAGGAGTGAGGGAACAACCTCATTCTCATGCTTCCTTCTGTCACACCCTCAGCTTTGAAATTATCATACATATCTTGGAATGTGATAAGGTGTGTGTAAGGATCTGCCGCAGGGAGTCCATTGAAGACCCCTGCTTCCCTAATCATGTGAAACATGATAGGTTTCAGTTCAAAATTGGGTGCTACAAGAGGGAGGATTACTCTCATGTCTGGTCTGTTCCTGAAAGGATCAGCCAAAGTTCTGAAATTTTTTTCAGGAGGAATATCTTCATTATTGTTATGATCAGCCATGTTTTCAAGAATTTCTTCCCTGAGGTTTCTTCTTCTCCTATGAAGTGTACATTCTGGTTCAGGATCAAAAAGAAACTCAGGTACTTCAATGGAGTGGTCAGAGTCTGTTTCAAACTCTTCACTCATAATCCATAAACACAAGTTATATATGTACAACAGATTTAGTGACAAGAAAAATAAAAAGTAAAGTCAGATATACAGAGTCTGTACTATAAAAACAGTAAATAAGAACAAAACGTAGTGTTGCTATCCCCGGTAACAGCGCCAAAAACTTGTTGGGTGGTTTGCTGATGGTGGAAAAATATAAGTTCTGCTAGGGGACGTTCCTCTATTCTTAAAGAACACAGATTCGTTTCCTTAGTTCCAACCCAAGTGCGCAAGTGCACACATCAAGTAATAAAGGGAGTATTAATGCCCAGATTATCGTTCCCACGAGGATAGAATCCTAATTATTGTCTTACACTATTTTATAAAGAATAAAAATGAGAAGAAAAGTTAGTAAATGAACTATCTGGTCAAACGTTCCCTACTGTCTTGACAATGTTCCTCAGGAATAGTAGGTTCAATCTGATGGCAAACAATTACTCGCTGCGTTATGTATGTGAGCCTCCCTGTTTAAAAGAAGGTGAGATAGTAATCATTGGAGTTTGATAGATACAATATTAAATAAAGTGAAAACTACTAAAACAGAAATAACTATAATCAAGAGACAACAGGATGGTGGTTTTAAAACAGTTTAACAAAAGGAATGGATTCACTGCTCCACTCTTAAATAGCTATTTTCTCTGCTCAAGACCTAGAACTTTTTGGCTTTATCCCAGTTTCTTATCTGCCAACTCTGATTCCTCAAGCTCATGGACTAGATGGCTCACAAGTTTCCATATTCCTATGGCTCCCTTGACTCCAACAGGTACTTAGTACAAAACCTTAAAATGGACGAGTTGGCCCCTTATTGCTAAGGTGACCAGTAGTGTTTTTGCCATGACACTACATTCCCCCAATGGCTAAGCTGTCTGAAATCCCTTCCTTAAGGAAGTTCCTTTCTCAGTATGTGTTCAATTTTCATTGATACACAATGAATATAACTTACTTAGCCAAAGAAATCCAAAAAGCTTCAGTCAAGAGTTTCGAAAATAGTTATTTAAGAGTTTTATAGTTTATCCGTTCCGCAGATAGTTCAGCTCATGGCTGATAGTTTAAACAAAATTATTCCAAACTGAAATCCCATAGACCCGAGATTCAATTAAGAGATAACGAATGGAACAAAGAGAAAAACACTTATATTAATTCAAAAAACAGTTTACAAAAGAAACAGAAAATGGAGAAAGATGGTCTGATGCTCGTGAGGAGTCTTAGGGTTGATACAGAGAAGAAAAGATGGGTTGTCAATTGACTACAGTTACAACTTAAAATAAAACTAAGCTACTAACTACTACTACTAGGTGATCTCTTCCTTTTGGACTTCAAACCCTTCAGGATTTGATGATGTTTTTGTGTGTGGGTCGTCCTATTTATAGATGGAAAAGGAGTGGCAATCTTGTAAATCCTTGTGAGCTGGTTGCTTGAATGAGGGGATGGGATAGTGGCAGCAGAGTATGGAAACTGCGCAGATTGCTAGATGGAACAGGATTTGGTGGTGATTAGCCGTTGTTTGCAGTCCTTCCCATGCCTTGCTTTCTTTTTCAGCCAATGAGAACTCTTGATTCTCTGCTGTTCACGTTTCCTGCTGCTCAATTGGTGCACCGCCTCTGCTTTTAGAAGACTTTAAATCCACGTTACCTGCAAAGTGTACAGAGGCATTAAATGAGTGGAGCAGGTGCATTAAATGCGTCTCAGTCCGTTCCCCTTTTAATATATTTTAAAGGAATATGTTACCATATGTTCCCCCACTGTGTTTTTGTCACAAATGTGTAAAACAAGTGATTTTCATGCTGAAGTTGTGCATCAGATGAGGGAACGTGCGGTATTTTTCCATCAAAATGGGCCTAGATGGGAACGAATTTACGTCCTATCACAAAACATAGCATTTCATACATCATTATACATGCTATTTCAGAAACTGGAATATTTGATGAAATGAAGCATATGTTTGAGCATGCATCATATAGGCATCTCTCAGGTACTAGGGAGAAGAAACCGTGGCTCAGTTCGCATAGGTCTCAATTGGAATTCCCCTTTGTTAGGGCCAAATGGAGTCTCCATTGAGTTTAGTTAGTTAGTATGTGCACTTTAGTGCTATAAACATACAATATTCTGACGTTATATACGCATTTTGTTGCATTTTGGTATCTGTTTGGAAATTATTTGTTGATGTGACAATTTTGGAAATTCTGTATCTAAATTAATACTGTTGCATTATTGGTTTTTCTATCACACTACTGAGATTTTTCTCACCCCTTTTTGGGGCTCAATTTTTATAAAATTGCAGGAGGAAAAAGAAGTATTTGATGCAGTATATTCTTGGACAATTCTGTTTGAACTACTATTGTGTGTCACTGTTCTTGATGGACTTGAGTGCTGAATATTTGTAGTTAATGTAATATTTTGGGAGACCGGCAAATGTGAAAACGTGTCATGCCTTGCTGTAGACCGATTTTTTTACGTTTTGCATGAAACTTATGTAATTCTGGTACTTGGTTTGTCCAAACATTTTCTGCCTGATTTAAATTCGGATTTTTACTCTATTTTATCGTGCATCTTGCGAGTTCTGTTTCTGGAGCTACAGATCTCCAAATGCAATAAATGTTATATGTACGTAAAGCCCCAGATATCTACTTTCAGATTATAATAACTCCATTTTAGAAGCTTGTAAGTTCGATTTTATATAATTTTTGTAAGGCAGACAGCTTTTCTGAAAATTTTATGATTTCAGCTTTACAAGTTTTTATGAAATCCCTAACTGTTTTACCTATGTAATTCGATTTTAATACAAGTCTTTATCACATGACTTCAAAATGTATTTATATAATTAATTATGTTATCGTTGCGACTCTAATAAGATTTAGCAGACATCCCCCTTGGATGTATACATGGGAGGGTGTCACACTAAATGGTATCAGAGCAGTTTTGATTCATGGTGTTTGTGTTTGTTTGATGAATTGTTTGCTGGTTGGGTGTGCTTATTGAATTGTTTGCTGGCTGCTGTGTGATAAATTAATGGGTTGTCTGAATTATGATCGGCATGTGTCTGAATATCCTTTTAAGTTGTGGTAGATAGTATAAGTAAAATGTTAGAGTTATACAGTGATGAGAATCGATGTGTTGTTAGCCTTTCTGATTAGAACTCGAGTACCTACTTGGAGTTGCTGTCATTTATATCTTGCGGTGAGTCTGATCAGCTCATTTCGTGGTATTGTAAGTGCAGAAACATGGCAGGTACACGGGGATCTACTCAGGGAAGAACTGGTAATGCACCTGATGATCTTATCACTACTATTGGAGGGTTGGCCACTTTTGTTCAGAATATGAATCAAGAGTGGAGGGAATATAGAAATCAAAATCCTAACCAACCCCAGATGCAAGATAATGTTGAGGAGATTGCTAGGCGGAGGTTGAAAGACTTCTGAAATTTCCAGCCACCTACATTTGAAGGAGGAGATAATCCTGAGATGGCAGCAAGATGGTTGCAGATGATTAACACATTTTTGAACGCATGGGTTGTCCTAAAGCTCACAAGGTTGACTATGCATCGTATCAGCTGATTGATGAAGCGTTAACTTGGTGGAAGAGCGCAAGGGCTTTGCTTCGAGCACAACATGTTGATCTTACTTGGGAGGTGTTCAGACGGGTTTTTCTTGACAAATATTTCCCTAAGGCTATGAGGAGAATGAAACACACTGAGCTTCTAGCACTGCGACAAGATAATATGATTGTTAATGAATATATTGCAAAATTTGGGCAGCTGATGGAGTATGCTAATTTTGATCAGAACATTTATGACGAAGAATGGCAGATGGAAAAGTATGAAAGTAGACTGCATCCGGAGATTTGCAAGCTTATTTTGACCACAACAAATCGTACTCTTCCTGAATTGATCAATCAGAGTCGACAAGCCGAAGATATTATTAATGAAGCCAAGACTTTGTCTAAACAGCCAGTGCAATCACAAGGAGGAAGTAAAGTCGATCGGTTTTTCAGAAAGATTACTGGAATGAATCGAGGCAAGGGTCCTCAGTTGCAACCTCGGTCTGGAAACTTTAAGAAGAATAATGCTCCTGGACAATCCTCAGTCGGACGACAAAGTTTCTCTGCTTGTTCCACTTGTGGGAAGAATCATACTGGTGTATGCCGACGCGGGAATAATTTGTGCTACAAGTGTGGACAACCGGGACACTTCATTTCTGATTGCCCTCAGAATACGAATCAGCCTCCTACTCAAGCTCAGGTGTTCACTCTTGATGCCATTGAAGCTCAAAAGTATCCGAATTTGATCCGAGGTAATGTAATCTTGAATGGTTATCCTATTTCTGTTATCTTTGATTCTGGAACATCAGGTTCTTTTATTGCGGGGCACACTGCAATGAAGCTAGGTCTCACCCTGACTCCTTTACCTTATGAGTTACAAATCAGTACTCCTACTGGAGGATCTTGTACTGCATCAGAAATCTGCAGGGGTTGTATTCTACAGTTTGAAGAAAGGACTTATACGGTGAATTTAGTGGTTCTACTGGTATTCAGTCTTGAGATGATTATCGGTATGGACTGGCTGGCAGAGAATGGAATGACGTTGGACTGTCAAGCAGGAAAGGTCATCGTTCCTTCTAAAGATGGTAATTCTCAGTTCTTTTCTACTATTTCCTTGTTGCAAGTTAGGAAAGAACTCCTTCGGGGAGCTGAAGGGTACTTGTTGTTAATTGAGTCTGAAACTACTGTTGACAACCAACTTCAAAATATTCTTGTTGTTAATGAGTTCGTGGAGGTGTTTCCTGATGAAATTCCTCGATTACCTCCTCATCGGGAGATAGAATTTCCTATTGAACTTCTTCCTGGAGTTAGACCTATTTCTATTGCTCCTTATCGTATGGCACCACTGGAACTTCGGGAACTTAAGAAACAAATAGAAGAGCTTTTGTCAAAAGAGTTCATCAGACCCAGTACTTCTCCGTAGGGTGCTCCAGCTATCCTTATCAAGAAGAAGGATGGTAGCCTACGTCTATGTGTAGATTACTGTCAACTGAACAAAGTGACAATAAAGAAGAAATATCCGCTTCTTAGAATTGATGATCTAATGGACCAGTTGAGAGGTGCTAGGGTGTTTTCTAAAATAGATTTGCAATCGCGATATCATCAAATCCGAGTTAAACCGGAGGACATTCTGAAAACAGCATTCAGGACTCGATATGGTCACTATGAATATCAGGTGATTCCGTTTGGACTTACTAATGCTCCGGCAGTATTCATGCATTATATGAACCGTATCTTTCGCCCATTTTTGGATTAGTTTGTCATTGTATTTATTGATGATATACTGATTTATTCTACCACTGAAGAACTGCATGCTGAACATTTGAGAATAGTCTTACAAATACTCAAGGAGAAACAATTGTACGCCAAGTGGTCGAAGTGTGAGTTCTGGTTAAATGAAGTTAAGTTCTTAGGACACATAATTTCAGCAGAAGGTATTGTTGTGGATCCCAGCAAAGTGGAAGCAGTAATGAATTGGGAGCGACCTAAGACTGTCACTGAAGTGAGGAGTTTCTTGGGACTCGCAAGTTATTATCGTAGATTCATCCAGAACTTCTCCTAATTAGTACAGTCTCTCACACGTCTCACTCGGAAGGGAATGCCTTTTGAGTGGACTGACGCTTGTGAAGAATGTTTCTTGGAGCTAAAGGGTAGATTGACCAGTGCTCATGTACTTACTATTTCGAATCCAACCAGAAAGTTTGAAGTGTATTTGCGATGCTTCTCTTAAAGGCCTTGGTTGTGTGTTGATGCAAGACCGTATGGTTGTAGCTTATGCATCACGAAAATTAAAGCCCCATGAGGAAAACTATCCTACTCATGATTTGGAGTTGGCAACTATAGTGTTCGCACTAAAAATCTGGAGACATTATCTGTATGGTTCGCAATTTGATGTTTTCAGGGATTACAAAAGCCTGAAGCATTTGTTTGATCAGAAGGAACTAAACATGAGGCAACGACGGTGGATGGAATTCTTGAAGGATTATGAATTGGAACTCAAGTATCATCTAGGCAAGGCAAATATAGTGGCTGATGCTTTGAGCCGTAAGACTCTTCATACTGCCACCCTGATGATAGAAGAACTAAAACTACTTGAAGCTTTTCGGGATCTGAACTTATCTGTTAACAGAAGAAGGCGTGGAATAAGGTTGGGCAGAATCCAAGTAGAGAATGAGTTAATCCGCAGAATCAATAGGGCTTAAAGACATGAGGAACTAGTTCACAAATTGACTGGTTACCAAGATGTCGTTTGGGATGAACATAAAATGTTGAGGTTTCAAGGTCAGTTAGTAGTGCCAAATGATGAACTTAAACAAGAAGTTTTGCAAGAGGCTCATAAGGGTAATTATACTGTTCATCCTGGATCCACTAAAATGTATCATGTTTAAAGACTTTATTTTGGTGGTCAGGTATGAAACGTGACATCGCAGAATATGTAGCTCGATGCTTAACATGTCAGAAAGTGAAATACGAACATCAGAAACCTTTGGGACTTCTTCAACCTCTGGAAATTCCCGAATAGAAATGGGATAGTATTGCCACGGATTTTGTAGTCGGACTTCCCAAGACTCGTGAAGGATTTGATGCCATATGGGTAATTGTGGATCGGCTTACAAAATCAGCCCATTTCTTGAGTGTCCGAAAAACGTATAATATAGAGAAGCTTGCTCAGATCTATATTCGAGAAATTGTGAAGTTGCACGGAGTTCCAACCAGTATCATCAGTGACCGTGATCCTAACTTCACCTCTAAGTTTTGGGAATCTTTCCAACGACTCGGGACCCATTTGAAATTGAGTACTGCTTATCATCCGCAAACCGACGGGCAGACTGAACGTACTATTCAGGTCCGGGAGGATATGTTGCGAGCCTGTATTTTAGAACAAGGAGGCAGTTGGGACAAGTACCTTCCTTTGGTGGAGTTTGCTTACAATAATAGTTTTCACTCAAGCATCAGAATGACACCGTATGAAGCTTTGGATGGGAGGAAATGCAGATCTCCTTTATGTTGGGTAGAAGTTGGTGAACGAAGTATTTTGGGACCCGACATGATTCAAGAAACTTCAGAGCAGGTACAGAGGATTAAGGAAAATATACAAAGGGCCCAGGCGAGGCAGAAAAGCTACTATGACAATCGTCATAAACCTCTATCTTTTGAGGCGGGAGACCATGTGTTTCTGAGGATCACGCCCACGTCTGGACTTGACAAGAGAATGGGAACGAAGAAGTTGAGTTGGCGGTACTTGGGACCATACCTTATCTTGGATAGGATTAGAGAATCAGCTTATTGATTGGCGTTACCGCCTAATTTATCGGGGATTCATAACGTTTTCCATGTATCTCAGTTGAGAAGATATATCTCTGATCCATCCCATGTACTACAACTAGACGAAGTGGAATTAGAGAAAAACCTGATTTACCCCGTTCAACCATTCCGAATTCTTGAGAGGTCAGTCAAGCGGCTTCGTTCCAAGGAAATACCATTGGTGAAAGTGCTATGGAACAATAAGAATGCTTATGAAGCCACTTGGGAGCGTGAAGATGACATTCAGAATCGATACCCGGAACTCTTTAATTCAGTACGTAATTCTAATTTTGCGGACAAAATTCTATTTTGGTGGGGAGAATGTAACATCCCACATAAATTAGGATGTGTATTTAAAATGCAAATTTGAACGAGGATATGTGTTATGAAATCGAAACACTGGTATGGAAGAATAGGATTAATTTTAATTATAACGTACAAAAAAAAATCCTAGATACTACTTAGTAGATTACATGAGATAATAGATCCATTAAGAAGATAATTTGGGCCCTAATCTCCTTAATGGGCAACGGCCCAAGTCCTTAAGGAAGGATTTTAAATCAGCCTAAAATCCCTTTAGTTTATCCTTTAGCTAATCCCTTAAGCCATCTTAATGAAATCTGCATTCTTGCTCTTGATTGGCCAAGTGGTAAACACATATCCATCCTTATCCCTCCATTTCATGCGCCTAGTATAGTGAAAAAGCAAGTTGATTGCTTGTCATTGTATCCCAACTCAAGTCAGCCTCATACCTCCCATGCGCCCAATAAGAGTAAGGCAAATCTGATTTGTGCCATTTGGTGCAGAATTTGGACCAATATATCCTAAAGCAATCTGCATGCATTGGTCAAGAAGCAACTCACTCACCTCCCTTACCACTCATTGTGCGCCTTGTATGTAGAGAAACTAATCTGATTTGGTTGTTCTCTTGTGTTCAGAATACAATCAACCTCTCATCTCCCTCAAACCCGCAAGCTTCCAAGAAGAACACCAAAAACCTAAGCCTGCATTCCTTTTCCTTCTCCACTCCTTCGCAAATCGCAAGTCCAAGGAGAGGAACCTAACACCAAGCATACATTTCCTTTCTTCTCTCTCTTGGCGCGGCTGAAACTCAAGCTCAAGGATCCTCATTGTCTTCTTGTTTTCATCTACTCCATTCGGTTTTGATGGAGATTTTAATTAAAACTGTTATTAATTCATTTTGGTGAAAAATAGTGCAACTTTTATGTCAGTTCACTTTTTCAATGTACCTAAATCCCACTACTTTCTGCCTTGGAAGATGTTGGGCATATTCATTTTGTATAAATAAAGAAGTTTTATTTCTTATCCAATGCTGACCGTGTAAATCTCGCCCACACTTTGATGTGTAAGTTTTGGTTGGACAGCGTTGGATATGTTGGCCATCTTGTGTGTGGGCCCTTGCGAGAGATTTAGTTGTTTTCTTGCCTCCTTAATTTAAAAGTTCCTGGAGTTGGGCTTTGTGGTGGGCTCCACAAGAAAGTTGGTTGCTTTGAATCGTAAATGTTGCTTTGCAAGTAGTGGGTCCCACGAGGAAATTTTAATTGATAATAAAGAGTTTGTTGGCTTTGCTTTGATTCCACGTTGAGAGCTTTCAATTCTAAACTTTGATTCCTCGTTTTGAGTTGTTTGGCATTCGAATTGGACCTGGACTGTTCAAATTGCCGTCCCACCATATTTGAAGCCGGTGATGGCTTTCCTTGTGTTTACCCGGTCGGCAAAGGCTGGAAATTTGGCTCTGCTAACCAATTCGAGACTTGAGGTAGATGACCAGTTGGATACAGAATGGTTTGTTGTTTGAGAAGCTGTGAAAGCTTGTGAGATACTAGTGGTGGTCGGCAAAGTGGGGTTCTGGTTCTTCGTGGATGTTGGGCAATCAGCTAAGGTGGTGCTCTGGGCGACCCACATGAAGAAATGATGTTCTGCGATCTCTTGCCGTTGGTCATGGTAGAGTCACGAAAGTTGCATATGTTAGAAATTTTTATAATAATTGTGGACTTAAATGAATTGTAATTTTTCTTGTTTTGATAAAAACGGGCTAAGTCATGATCCATATAGGGGTGCAGTATAAAGTCCATTTAATTAAGTGATCCTTTTGTTTGAGCTTGAATATCTGTAAATTGATTAGTGTGGGTAACAGTGTAGGCCTAACTCATAGGCCCATGATGAGAATGAGACTAGGGTTAATAAGTTTGGCTAGGTCTCCTCTGCATTCACAGCGTGTTAGAAAATCGTTACTCCATAACTTGTCCTATCGACGGTTATGATCAGGGAGTGGTGTGAATTGCAGAGGAAGATCCTGGTCTTTCCATTGCAGGAGCACCAGAGGAAACAAGAAGTCTTCAGGAAATCAAGAATCATGTCTTCAACAAGTAAGCTTAAATATTTTGGTGTTCTAATTTCATATAATCATATTTTAAAATTTCTTACATTTGATATCAGAGCCTAAATTATATGAGTTAGGACCTAATTTTTATTATTAGACATGATCGGGTTTTTGGGATTAGTTTTACTATCTTCCTTTTATTCTTGATTATATGCTTTTTAAATCAAGTTTGTTGTTTTTTTTAAATAAATCAAAATTAGATTTCAAAGACACTT